AAAGGAGTTTCCAGATGCTGCTGTTGGCTAGTAGTCCAGTGTTGCCTGGATTTAGACATTCACATCCCGTTTGTTTGCAGCATATACTACACAAGATTAAATGAGTGTGAGTGCATGTACAGCTATGAGTGCAGCTGCCTGCAATGGATGTGACATTGCTCACTTGGAGAGTTTTGACTTTTTTCTTCTTTTTCCTGTCTTTCATACCTGCATATGCAAGACCGCTATCTAGCTTATGAAGGACATCTGGATAGCTTAATTTATGGAGCCCTGGTACAAGGTTGTATACATAATATAATGAAGTTATGTTTTAAATGGGAATGGTATTAGAAACATTAATAGGAAAGATATTCTAAACTAATATTATGGGTGATATTGACTGGGGCAATAAATGTAGTATTTAAACTAATACTTTTAAAACTTCCAAAAATGGTATGTTTTGCTATTATTCCTTTCACAGACAGATATGAATTTGGCATACTGTAACATCATAGCAGTGTTATGTTAATATTTACCTTTTACTTTGTCTCTTTTCTTGGCAATGTAGCTAGTTACTAAAAATGGCTTTTTTTCATATTAACCATTTAATTGCTGTGTTTTCCCTTTTACGACAGTCAGAATTCTGTGTGGATATTCCTACACTGAACTTAATTGCATATCTGAAATTTCCAGGGACGTGCGTATTTATTTCCCTAACAGTTTTTGTTAAATCAGGAGTCTGCTGGTCAGTCCTGGTGGTCAGAGGCAGCAGTGACACTCTGTATATAGTGCCCACATAGAAATAAAATACAGGAATATATTAGGAGCAAATTCTTATCATATCCATTTAGAGACAGTATTTTTAGTTATTACCAACTATTCACCAGTTATTAATAACCACTTAGTATTTGTAAGCAATTTCAATACTATATAAAAAGCCTGTTCCCTGAAAACTGTCACATTTTCATAACATAAGTGGTTGTGGTGGTAGGGTTTAAATCCCAGATCTGTGTGGCAAAAAGCACTTATCCTGCATTTTTGGTGTCTTGAATTGTAATGCTGCTGAATCAACAATTATTTGCCTTGATTTGCCTGACATAAAATATTTTCTGATTTTTCTGTTTAAACATTCCTGTCATTCTGAACAACAACAATGAGTCCTTTATCCTAAAGGAGAGGAAGTGGGAGTCACATCTTTTCTGCTAGCTGGTCTCACAGCTAAGCTCCAGTGACTAAAAGTGGAGCAAGATGCCATGGCCCTAAAGATAGGCATGATTTGAGCACAAAATACCTGGTACTGTCAGTCAGAGGCTGCCAGGGACCTGATGATGCACATGATCAAGATCTCACAGGCATGTCAGCAATGCAGCAGCACTGGGAGAGTGTGAGAAGGGAAGGCACCATCCCATAAGCAGTGGGAAGGTGGGCTCAGGCACTGGGAGAGAGGCTTTTTGTTGCAACCCCATTTCAGCACTGACTGAACCAGAGATTGCATAAATGGTTATACAGAAGATGACAGGTACTCTCAGAATTGAACTATATACATAATCATGTCCACTTAAAGAACAACCTACTCAACACTTGCTAAAGACAGAGCCTCCTCTTGTCGACATCCATGCCATGTATCAGATTTTCTAATGAGGTTTTCCTTTCTGTTTCAAGGGTAATCTACAGAATCAGAAATAAGAAATCAATGCACTTTGACAATTTTATCAGCAGTGGCTCATATATGGCAGGCTCTAGGTTAGCATAGACCTTGTACACCCAAGGGTACCCACGTTCTATTTTGCATTTGTGAACAGATTAATACCTCAATTCGCACCCAGAGGTCCTTAGCTTTCACTCCACTTGTCCTCTAAATTTTGGCAGCTGTGTCATATATAACTTCTCAATAATTGCAATAGAAATAGAGCATATTTGTAGCAGATTGTTTTATTCTGTATGACTTAGCAATTACTGAATCAGTTCATTATGTATCATGTTTAATAAGAAAAAAAAGAAAATTTTAAAAATTAGAGTTATTGTAATATTGGTATAAAGCGCATCTTCTAAAAGACAAATTTTACCTTTTTAAAACAGTACGTACAATGCAATATTTT